GAACATTCGTCCCATAACTTCTCATCCCATAAATTTAAATAGGTAATTAATCATTTTATTTTAAGATTTTTTTTAATTCTTCCTATCAACATTTTCACAATTAAACATTTCTTTAGCATTTCTTATCGAATTAACTTCGTGAAAACATCGATAGGCACAACGCTTTATAGCCAATGCACTAACATTTTTATGTAACAGTTTCACAGAAACAGTTATTTTACTGGGACGTCTCCTAACCGGACTTAACCCATTAAAATCAAATCCAACGTATTTGTCTGTTTTTTTGTTTTTTTTTCTTATACGCAAGGGAACTGAAGTTTTGAATGCCGACACACACTTCTCCCACCTACCTCAATCTAACTTGAACAGATCCACCCGAAGCAGGTTATAAAAGATCTTGGGTTTATCCTAGTCAGCCTGCTCTTTCAATAAACGCCTTTGCCTTAAGGCAGCAGAAGAAAAAATACACTGACCTCTTCGCTTTGCATGGTAAATGGAGCAAACTACACACAAGGCAGAAGCTTCTACTCTAGAAATGTTAATCATAGCAGGTTCGAGAAAAATGTGCTGTGTGTGTAATATATATATATATATATATATATATATATATATATATATATATATATGGCCAAAGGGAAGAGGCATGTTGTTTTAGATATAGAATACAATGTAGGTATGTTGTTTGTTCGCGAACATATGCATACTCTAGCTTTGTCGCAATGCAAACAGGTAGTTGTTCTTTCTTTTGTCGTATAACCTGTTTGAACACAGTATTTCTTTTTGTTTTGTTTCTTACTACTGTTTGCCTGAACAGCCGGTTTGTGAAGCTTGCATGTGCACCTTTTTTTTCCCGCGCTTTGCTTCAAGCCGATTTATTTCCAGTGGGGACAAAGGAATGATATTAGAAATATGGCTGTTGTTTTAACCTTTTATTTGTCACTGTGAATGCCACATATTAAGGAAGATTATGATGCACCAATCTTACATTTATTTGGAAAAAAAAGTATGCCTGTTTAGAAAATCGGCATTCAAAATGTTTGCTTTTACTTACACCCGAATAAAATCTACAAAAGCTTATGTGAAACTTCAACTATCTCCGCTAACATGCATGTTTATACAGTCTATAATAAGAAAAAGCATGTACAGAAATTTAAATTTCTTGAAAATGTATAATTATGTGCGTATCAAATGCATGCATTTAAAATATGATTTGGTGACAATTATGGAAGGAATTTCACTTCACATATTAAAAATATCGTGGTTATCTTAAATATAATGTTTGATTTTTTTTTTTTTTTTCCTAGGCCGAGTCAGGGAACTTTTCGATACTACCTCATTTCTCTGTGTGTGTTGGTGTGACCAAAAGACTACCTGCCAAAAGGCGGGTGATGCTAATAACAAAACATCAAAAGCTAAGAAAGAGGCCAAAGGGCAAACTTCTAGCTAAGCAGTAAATAACAGTGCCCAACGCCTAGGCTGTCCTGCCAGAACAACAGAAGACGCCTCACGGCGTCAATCCTTAACGAGGCACAGCTCTAGTCACTAGTTAAGTTTCACGCTCTTCGTGATCTTCAGGCGACCAGAACGCAAATGAATGGAGAAGCCTAGCATTTATACTCAAGTACCGTAATACAACGTAACTTATTGTATCATGGGGAATGTTAAAAAATGTATACACTCCTAAAAGGATTATACTTCGTGTGAGTTTAAATAAGTAGTGGCGACTTTATAAACTTAATTTTAATGCTTTTGCTATACTCAGTAATTTTTACATGACTCCTACTGTGTTTTAGGTTTACACCGATTAGTCGGCTAATAATTAATCATTTGGCTGTTAATCAGTTTTTAAACTCGGTCGTCCTTGGTACTTACACTACAGAAATTTTATCACTGTCTTAAGAATCATCAGATTATATTTTAATTAATTTCAGTAATATTTTGAAAGTTTTTCATGATTTACTCTTGGACAACTTTTATCGAGTAAATAAATTACCGATTGATCCGTATAATCCTACCTGTCTTATATCGTGACTTCTGTAAACTAATTTTTATTATAATAATTACAGTGTAACCCCGATATAAGAGATTTTCTCTGGTCCCAGATTAGAGCCTGTGTTAATGTATATAAAATAGACCAAACCCGGATATAAGAGACTTCTTCTCCGGTCGCGACAACTCTCTTATATCTGGGTTACACTGTACTACAAATTTACGGAACATTTTCCTTCGTCTGTGCGTGTCCTTTCAGGACGTGGGCTGTCATGGCTCTCCTCAGCTTTCCATCTTTCGTAGCTCTGTTCTGCCATTCATTTACACAAATTTCTGCCTGTTTTGAATTGTCCTGTGAGTGTCAAATTCCCCAAGCTGTTTTCCCCATTATGTATCCGAGAAATTTCATCTTTCTCTTTCTGATTTTAACTTTAAATGTCCTTTTTGTTTCATTTCCTTTAAAACTTCCTCGTTGCTCACATGTTCTGTCCATGGTATTCTCTGCATTTTTCTGTAGAACCACATTTCTGTTGCTTCAAGTTTCCTCTGCGTCTATAAGGAATTAGTCCAGAATTTACTCTCATATAGGAGAATTAATATTACATGGCTTTCAGTACTCTTTTCGTTGGTTCTAACGAGATTTTTCTGTCTCTTCATTGTTTTGCTTTTGGAAGGCCCTCTTTCACGATTTTAAAGAGTCTTCGGATTTTGGTGCTGCTTTTTCCGTCATCTGTTAAAACACACTCGAGATATTTAAATGTATGTACTTGCTTGATTTGTCTTAGAATCGATGGCTTATACTTCACGATTTCTTTATCGTCTTGCCTAGGAGTTCCTGGAGTTTTTTCTGTGTCTGCTATCAATACGACGTCATCTGTGTATCTTACGTTAACCTTGTATCCACCAATCATAGGATCTCTTCGCTTTATTGGTTGAATAAATTCAGCATGAAGACGCATCGTTGTCTTACGCTACCTTCCATAATTGTGTATTCTTCCAATTCATTTTCTATCCGTGTGCAGGCGGTATACTCCGAGTCAATGTTCTGGATTATTGTAATGTCTTTCCCAAATAAATCAAGTTTTCCTAGCAGTTCAAATAGATCTTTGTGCTATACTTTACTCACAGAATTTCCTGCGTAGTTTTCAATTGCTAATTGTGCTTTCCTCGTTATAAATCCAATTTTACTATTTCTCTTTATGTCCCTGTTGTTTAGATATATCTACGTTGTAGTTGTTACTTACTAATCTTAGTTTGACACAAGGCCGTAAGTATGGAGCGCCCAATGAAGAACAAGTTTGTTAATCATTACCAGCGCCAAAGTTGTGTATAATAGTTATGCTATTATCGGTTTTAATCTTAATCCAGTTTCCCCATTTAGACTCTTCTTCCAAGCTGAAAAATCTTTAATATTTCTGAGATGAGTAATTGTCAACATTTCTTGTATTATTTCGAACTATTGTTTTAGTCTTGATTTATATAGATGTTATTATAGACGTTTCGACCAAGTACCCTGACAATAATCAAGAAATATCCCGTATCAACCAATCAATGGATAACCAGAGGGTACTTGGTCGAAACATTGTATCTATAATAGCGTCTATATTAATCAAGATAACAATAGTTCGAAATAATAGAAGAATATTGAAATAATCCTTCTCAAACAGACGACTTCAACGCTAGAAATATGAAAATGTATTGTAATTAGTAAATGCACACATTGGGCTTCTGATTAGATCAATTCCAAATCTAATTTAAACTTGCTCTCTCCACTTTTGTTCTACTGGCAATAGCAAATTTTATTTCATTCTCTTCGGAAGACTAATACAGAAATAACTTTTTTGTGGGGCGAGTCAGATTCTTTGACAAAAATCCTCAGCTTCAATGAGTGCCTCACACATGTGAACTTGTATCGTTTAAAGCTTTAGCAATATATTTTCATCAGCAGAAAAAAAAAACGCAGAGGCGAGCTAAATTTAAGTGATTTTACTATATTCCTTTTACTCTCTAGAAGTCAGGATGCGTTTTCTCCTTATAGCTTTTATTGATATACATAGAGATACTGAAATTGTTTATTTATATATATATATATATATATATATATATAAACAAATATTAAGTTGTTTTGCCACTGCTGATTAGATTACATTGCATGTAAATAAACATATAATGCTTAATGACCATAATTTTCATCTGCGTTGCTATTGTCGCATCTTAAGGTAGCCATCTTTGAAACCATAAACTTTTTATTTCCCACTGCTATTTTTGGTTTTTATGGCCCAAAGTCTTTTTTTTTTATTGGTGCATCCGTCAGACAAATTTATTGGCTTTTGGTCCTTAGTGAATTTCCTTGTATGCTTTCACATGACATCCTTCCATTTAATTTCTTTTCATTTAGGTCAACAGGCAATACTAAAAATGTTTTTCATCGCCGCCAGCCGACAGATCCAACAAGTTATGCACATCTACATGGAACTATTCTTTAGTGGATCATAACTTTATTAATGGCACTGATACTGCATTAATAAATGAATTAATGCCATTGAGGTTTTAAAATAACTTCTACGTTTCACATACTAATAATGTAGAAAAGAAAGATGCGTATTTGGGCAAGAATATTGCATGACGGTTAATAAGCTAGTCTCGTTAAACCATTCGCGAGTGTAATAAGCTCGATCTTCACATTTTGTAGAGCTTTGCTATAATTGGTAAAAATTTTACTGGCCTGTTTTGTGGGTTCGATAGTATTTTCCATTATTCTGTTGGTGCCTGTGGTCAGCGTTCACACCAGTAAAAGTCAGGATTATGAATCTTCCTCCCTTGATTTTCTTCAAAGGTGATCTTAGTCTAGTAAATATCAAAATTACTGTGAAATTTCTCAGAGCTCAATTCGCGTTTTTCATATGGTCCATGCAGTTTACAGTAGTCAATTGCAAATTTACGACGACTGTTTTTTTGCCTATTTAGTTTTTCTTTATAAATATTCCCCACCATACACATGTACAGACTGTTTACGGCCATATCACGTTGAAACACCCCTTCTCATGAGATCACTGTAGTTAAACATCGTCGAACCTCGTCAATTCCTAGATGAGTAACCGCTTGGGAATACCAGGTGCTGTATGCTTGGATGTACACATGGTGTAATGGATAACAGCTCGGAATTGGAAATCTGAGGGCCGAATTTCAATTCCATTCTGGTTCGAATTGGGGAAGGTATGAATCCACCTCTTCCCCCAGCTTTGGGTTAAACAGTGGAACTCTTATCAGAAAATCATTATCTCTAAAACATCTTACAATCTAAAAATATTTTCTGGTTTTAAATAACCTACAAAAGGTTGATAAGCCGTAAAAAACAAACCAGTCAATTAATGCACACACATATACTTTCACAAGAAAAATTGTTTTGTCGATTGCTATCTTTTATTTTAGGGATATTGAATTTTTTTTTTTTTTAAATCTTTTAACTGATTTTTAAAACTTTTAGAACGTATTATTTATTTAGCTTTTTATACTATTGTTCACTCAATATAAGCCCAAAGTGCTACTCAAGGTAAAGGGTTATTGAATACAATTGTTGTAAGGGCGGAAGTAATAAGTGCGTATTATGGCGGTATGTAGTCTAGATAACGGTTCACTATAGACTTTAAGAGTTTAATATCGTAGTGATCGAGGAAGTATCCTCTCAAATTACAGTTCTGGGGAAGAAGCTAAGAGATTTAGCCCTGTGTACGTGGCATTTATTTATTATATGCCTTGCTTTTCGGACCAATATAAGCATCTTTGTTATTATACTCACTGTTTCGGTCGTTGTATCTTCCGACCTTCTTCCGGTGTCTGTCTTTGTACTTCGTAACCTTTTCGGAATTTTAAAACGAACATTTTATTCAGTCTACGAGGTTAAATTGTTCTCATCTCACTTTCCATGCTTAGGGGTGAGAACGCGTTTCAGTTAATATTTACCAGTCTTATTCACCTTTTTGTATCAGGGTTCATGATTTTGCAGCACTACTAAACATGGAGATTAATCTCACAACATATCTGGTTCCCTAGTGGCTATGAGTTACGTTGATTGGTCTGCTAAAAAAATGACATTTTCCAGATTCACTGGAAGAAACTAAGAATAAAACTGATGAATTTTGACTGATAAGAGTTATCTCCCCCTAAGTATGGAAAACTGAATGAGAACAATATAACCATGTGGATTGAATAAGTTCTAAGAAGGTTGCCGAGTGTGACAGACACCTGGAGATGGCCGAGGCACAACAACGACTGAAATGTTGAGGGTATAACAATTAAGATGTGCATGCTGGTCTGAATAGTAAGGCATATAATAATAATAATTCATCATCTAAAAAAATTCCGACACACATATGTCGGTACAACTGCGGCCTAATTATATATATATATATATATATATATATATATATATATATATATAAATTAGGCCGCAGTTGTTCCTCGATACATGTCTTATTAAATAATATAAACATTTTGTGTCTATTGGTTTTGCCTATTTCCCTCTCAAAATTACAAATGATCTTTTGCAAAAGACTAAGAGTAATTGTTGATGTACAAAATTTCCAAAACTTTAATAATGGCTGCGTCCAAATATTTATATAACATCAATCAGCTAAGTGACAAATTTTATAAAGATGATGCAATTTTTATAAACATTACTGTTGAATTTAACATTCTTTAGATTTATAAATAAATTGAACGAATTATTAATGATTAAAGACTAATAATGAAAAGTTATACATGAGAAGGTATCCGTTCTGTTTACTTTACGGGTGAATTATTGTTCTATATAACTTCAAGCTACAGTCTTGTTTGCTGTTCCAGTTAAAATACGAGATCGATGTTGTTCTCATTCGATTATTTTAAATTTTTAAACATTCTCTGTGGAACGAATTTAAACGATCTTTATTAGTTCTATATATTCGTCACTTGTTTTCAGAATTCACTTTCGATGATCAATAGTATTGCTTAATGGATGGCTGTTTTCTATGTTTCAAGGTGAAGGACGAATTTCTGTCACTCAGAAATTGTGAAATTGTTTCAAGTTGAATGATGAGTTTTTTGGGGTTTTTTTTCCCCCCAAATAGAAACCTGTAGACGAGAGAAAGGATTCACTGTAAGGATTTAACTCTTGCAATTTACGCCTGGAGAAGAGCAGAAAACGCATTATCACATAACAACAAATACATTGATGATGCGTTCATTTCAATGATAAATGGTGCAGGAAATTCTGACGTGAAATCTTATGTTAATGGTCAGGATGCTAACTCGCTAACCATTCGACTATGTGCCCAGTAAATTAGGGATTTTGAATCACACTATGGTTGATTATTCAAAGAGGTAACTTGATAACATCGTTATGGGGAGACGATCTCTGCGTGTGGCACTGTTCGGAAGAGCCTGGAAACTACAGCGCTTTGTTGGAAACTGAGTAGACGAAACTGTTTGGAAACGGTCGACGGTTGTGCTAATATCCAGAAAGATTACCAATCAAGTTTTCAGAACTTTTATCTAGACACGATGACTATAAAAAATATCTGTCTCTCAGCAATCTGGTCACTCGTTGTGATGAGAGAGTGAGACGCACAGACGCACAATGGCTGAAATTTTTAAGACACCTGAGTTGCGTAATCTGCCACAGGTGAAGACAGCGTTATCCTTATTTATAATTCTTTAAATCACTAATTCCTCTCGGTGACAAAAATAATGAAAACGATCAGAATATTTAAATTAATTTCAATATAGATTGATGGTGCTTAAGCTCGTGACAAAATTTCCGTAATAATAGCCGATTATGAAAACCGATTAATCGGTAAAGGCTTGTATAGCTTTTTTTTTTTTTTTTTTTACTGATTAATCTATGCAGTGATAATATATATTCAAATACAGAAACCGTTCATAGATACGAAGATCAAAACATTTTACTGGCACATGTAATTTAAATGCTATCTGTCACATAGTTTTAAATGTGCTTATCTAGGATTCAATTTTTAAAAACCGTCAGTAATATCGATTTCCTTTGTAACCATCTTAAGCACAAGACACTCATCAGTGTATTCAATTCTTGAAAATATCTTTGGTCAGTCGTGATGAGACGACAAAAGCATTATTCAAATTGCCACTATCAATCGGTAACACTTTATCTTCAGCGATCAGATTATGTCCTTAATTATCATTTCCAAATGTACCCAGCTGTGTCTTCGGAAATCCTCTTCCTTCTAGCAAATCATCACGAAAAAAAAAAAAAATAACTTCCTACTTAAGCAGCGTTAGTGTGTTGTTTCAGCCTTATAAGTCCATTGGAGAGATTATCGATTCAAGAAGATATAAGTGTGTATTAGTGTGAAAGAACTGGATGTTCCAATAACGACTGTTCATAATAGAGATACGCCATTACATTTAATAACGTAACAGTCATAGTTTTGATATTTCAAAAAGCAATTTTTGTATGCAGACTTTCTTCTCTCCTCACCCCCACTCAGAGTAAAAAAAAAAAAAAAGACTGCATTGATTGTGGAGATCTTCAAACGCAAGAGTTAAAAAAGGAATACTGCAGTTTTTATTACCATTTTATTGGATACAATATTTTCTTGGCATATTGGGAACCACAGTTTTGAATGTTTCGGGTAGAGAGAAATGAATTCTTTTGTGTGGAATGGGTTCAACATGATATTGTTGTTCAAAGATGAAAGAAACGAAGAGAAAATTGCTTATCGACAATTACCTAATTTTTTTTCTGTGTATTTTTTTCGTTTCTGGATTCATTTCCGTCCTTTTTATGCGTATGTTTTTTTTTCTGTAATTGCGGATCAAATCTTGATGACAGGAACTTCATTTATTTCCTTTGAATGAACAGTTTATCCCAAGATCAACATTCATGATACGTTGTATAAGTTGATATAATTGGTTGAGAAAAAAAATCAATTATTTAACGTGATTTCTTTTTCTTTTTGTATACGTTGCGTTTTTGGATTTTTCTTACTTCAATTTTTTTTTTTTTAACTCTTTCTTCACTCTTTACTCTTTACTCTGTTTTCTTCTCTTAGCCAATATTTTTGTCTCTGTTTCTCTCACTGGCAGATATTCTTTTTATTTTACTTTTATACATAAAATAGTAATAACAGTAAGCGATATTTTTTCGCTCTTCTCTCCCTAAAACCCTCCCCCCTTAGAAACTCTTTTCATCCCCACAATTAATCATCCACATATCAAATAAATGATCCCTAATGGAACCAACTGTTGAATCGAAATGATCTTACTAGCTTCCCTAGTGCAGATTTACATTCTTCGAAATCTTTCAGAATCGTTACTCATATATACAACCTGTAAAGTTCAATGTGAATGATCTTTAGCCCTCGCCATTCCACTACATTTGTTTGACGTTGTATTCATTTTTTTTTATTGATATTTAGAATTTTATGCAATAAATTCATCTTCGTGCGAAAAAAAAAAAAAGGATGTTTAACAACAGGTGTTCTGGGTGTCTTTTTCGTATTGGATTTTCTCGTCGTGGCAAAATTGTGAAGTAGCTTAGGACGTCTTTAATGATTGAGCGGTTTCCTTGCGTTCACTTTAGTGGAAAGAAATTTATCAAGTTCAATGAACATTCGAATGGTTGTTCAAATTACTGACTACGTACTGTTTTTTTTATATTGTGACTCTACGCTTTTCTCCAGCTGCACAAACTCCCTCTCACTTCTTCATTTAAAATACTCCCTTTAATATTAAGCTTATATGCAAATGTCTTTGAATGAATTAGAAAGATTTTTTTTTTTTTTTTTTTTTTTGACACTAATAGGCTCTTTTTAATTGGGGAAAACTATCGTTGGTATAAAATGATTTTGGTTACACTGGCTTAATTAATTTATTCATTTCACCTATACCACCTCTTTTTTTTTTTTTTTTTTTTTTTTCTCTTTCGGTTTTCTATAAGAATGAATTCTTGTCTTCTGAATTTTTTTTCAAGATGACAGTCTTGTTCAACGTCAAAACAGTTTTGATTATTTCTATATTATTTTTTTTTTTTTTTTATTCTTCTTTTTTGGTTATATTCTCTTCCTCTTAAAGAAAAAACTCAATGAAATGTATGAAATAAAAGTTCAAC